AACAAATGCAGTAGTTAGTTGTACATCTTCTCAGTTTAGGGTGGTGGTGAGATTATGTTCCTACAAGGAGTAGTTTGGGATTATGAGGCATGAAGAGTATTTACCTTTAGCTCACTTGAAACTGTGTCCAACGAATGCTCATTGTTTACTAGATAAAAAATTAGGATAAATCCAGGAAGACCAAAGTCTTCTAAATCAGCAAATGATGCTGGCTTTTTTCTTGATAACTTGACATTGTCTACAGCCTATTAAAGATCTCTACAGTCATCCCTCGGTATCAGTGGGATATTGGTTCCAGGACCTTGAAGGATACCAAATTCATAGGTGCTCAAGTATCTTACACAAATTGGCAAGGCATTTGCATATAACCTACATACATCCTCCATATAATTTAAATAATCTCTAGAGTTCTTAAAATATCCAATATAGTATAAATTTCCTGTAAATGGTTTTTATACTGTATTGTCTAGGGAATAATGACAAAAATGTCTGTACATATTTAGATGCAATTTCTTTTTGAATGTTTTTTATCCATGGTTGATGTATCCCACTGTTATGCAGGACTGAGTGTATTTCCACCTTGAATTGGAAATCATTAGATAGATTTTCCAGAAATTCAAGTAAAAGAATACTAAATTAGAAGTCAGAAAAACTGAATCCATATCCTGATTTTTTAAAAAATGTGAACGGAGACAAGAAGTATAGCATTTCATACTTATTTCCTTCATCTGTGAAATGAAGAGCCTAAGTTAAATTTATTTTGAAGGACCCACTAACTCTAAAATTCTCTGTACCACTAAGCAAGATAAAGCAATGAACTAATTTAATTATGGTCTTTCAGCATAGCTAGGTTGCTCTATCAGGAGAGCTCTCTTGAAATGCATTATTTTTCTCCTCTTCTGATTTGAATATATTATGTGCTCTATCATGACTACATAATGGGTAGTCCTGAATGCCTTCAATTAAATATATTTAAATTCCCTAACGCATGCAGTCATCTTGATTAAAATATCAACAGTTTATTACAGATGGAGTATTTCCAAAAGAGGATAATGCTCTTCAGATAGCAGGTGTTCTTGCATTTTATTCCAATGGCTAGTTGAAAAGATGTAAAGGTCTTTTGTTTCTAGCTGAGGCTAGATAGATTATAAAAATGCATTGTGAAACACAAAAAGCAAATTAAAAATTCCTCCAAAATTCTTTTTAGCGTATTCACATGAACATGTTACTTATCCTTAATTAACCCCACCTGAAAATATGTAGGTAGAAAAATAAATAAAATACAGTTTTTAATGAAGTTCACTTTTATGTCACAGAATCCTTACTCTATTCCTGAATATCGTTTGAATTTTTATTTTAAACCTTTGATAGTCTGAAAAGCAATTCATTTAAGTTTAATGAGAAACTTAATACTGAATGTAAATGAGCTAAAAGGTATATAAAAGAAAGAAAAGTTGTAGAAAATGAGTATACTATTTTAAAAATGAATTATTAGAAAATTTAGAAAAAGGCAGTCTACTTACTTTAGATTATTAATAAACATTCTCCATTGAAAGATGCCAAGCTGATGACACAGTTTGTGAATCCTAATTTCAGAATTCCTGAGTTGACATCATAGCTCATGCCCTTTTGACCTTCAGCTTGCTACTTCGTTCTTATGGGCCTTACTCCACTCACCCATCAAATGAAGGCAGGGGATAACAGAGCTTGTCACTGCCTCTCATGGAGTCACCACTTCTCTGTAGTCAACTCTGACACCATTAAAACTAACTCTACCTTTAAAAATTCTTGTCACCCTTAAAAATGTTTAACAACCTTGTTTTAAAGATTTCTTCCATTTATAACTAAAGCAAAAGCAAAGGAAAGAAAAAATAATGTCAGTCTCTCAAAAAACTATTTTATTTGACAGTACTAGGGCTTTGAACTCAGGGCCTCAAGCTTGCCAGGCAAGCATTATAACTCTTGTCCTTCATCCCTTTTTGCTTTGTTATTTTTCAGAAGAAGACTCATGCTTTTTGAATGAGCCAGCCTCAGGTTGTGATCTTCCTGCCTACCCTTTACTCCCATGTAGTTGGGATTGCAGGTATGCTCCCAACCTATCTGGCTTGCTCTTTTAGATAGGGTGTTACTAACTCTTTTGCCTAGGTGGTGCTCAAAAATGATCCTCCTAGCTCCACTTCCTAAGTAGCTGTGATTATAGGCATAAGCCACCAAACCTAGTTATCAATAAACTATTTTTTTCATCACCTTGTTAGTCACCTATTACCTTGATGTAATAAACTAATATCTCATTGTTCAATTGTAACTCTTTCACAAAAAGTAACATTCATGTGACTGATAGCAAGAAATAAAAAATACAAAATATTCAATATATAAAATGGTAATGCTTTTTACTGTATATTCTATAAGACAATAGACTTGCTTTGTTAGAATTTTATTGAATAAGAAGCTTAAGAATCACAGATCTCCATTCCAAGAGTGGTTTTCCATGCACTAAATATAGACTTCAGTTAAATACAAATTCCATTTCATTATTAAAGTCAGTGTGGAGCTCTTGGGTGTGATGTTGGGGGAGTGAAATCATGAGTTTTGAATGTAACCATAGCGAGATTCCAATTCCCATTATATCACTAATGAACCACAGGGTAGTTGGGTAAGATTCATTTACCTTTTTAGTAAAATGAGACTAACCCTGTTTAACTCAGATGGTTGTGTCAGGAGTGCATGAAACAATACAGGTGTTGATATTCAACAAATGGTAACTACTAATATGTGTCATTGTTGCTGTAATCTGTATTCACTACTAGCACATATAAATATTGTACTATTATTGCTGAATGATTGCATGGCTTTCTGTCATGGCTATATTTAAGATTTAGATTACCATTTCTTCGGCTCAGAATTGTAATTTAATTTAGGACATTACTTGTAATTGTTAGTTGTAACTAACTGTAATTTAGGATATTAGTATCCCATATGTACTGCATCACAGCCATTCCTCCCTTAACAACATCCCCTGAGAATGCACCCTTTCCTTTTTGCTTGATCCAGAATCCCTTTCTCTGAAGATCAGAAAGGGACATTTGAAAACCAAAACTTCTTGCTTTGCTCGCAAGAGTTTACAATATCTTTGCTGAAATAGAATAAATATCAACAACTACAAAAACCAATAAGTAAATAAATAGTCCATTAGCAGGAATCATTTCAGAGCTGTGAAGGACACTCTGAAGAAGAATCATCGTGGAAGGCAAAAGCTGTCAAGGAAGGTTTTTCAAAGGCTAAATATTCCAGATTGTGTTGAACTTCGTGTGGGGGAAACACAGAAGGGGACCTTCCTGAGCATCAGCAGGGGAGATTGAGCCAGAAGAGATGTGCACAAAAACCAGGAACATTTTTAAAAGATAAGGAGTAAAAAAAGGAAAGGCAGAATCCCCTCCTCTATTAGGTTTGCCATCTGGCTTGGATGCTTGCAAACTCACAAGCAAGGCAAAATCAAGCATGGTTTCATGTGGAGAAAAGCCTAAGAAGTGCTTTGTAATAATGAAACAATTGCCCAGAAATTCATGAATATAAACTTAATACATATTATGAAAGAATTCTCTTCTTCACCATCCTCTTGACGTAGGATATACTTTGTATTTATGTATTCGTTTATTTGCAGTGATGAAGATCAAAACTAGAGCCTGATGCATGATAGACAAGCTTTCTATTCCTGAGCTACACTCTCAGCTCTAAGAATAAACACATAGTTTTTAAATAAAAATGTTTCTATTTTTTGTTTTTGGTTTTGTATAGTAAGAAGACAGGTCTTTAAAAATGCTGTTAAATTTCCATAGGAATGTCTTGAAAAAAAAAGATGATTATCTTGAAACATTTTAACTTTATGTTTTATTACAATATAAATTTTGTTCCTATAATGTAAGAGAGTTGAAATGTAAGTGTCAGTGAAGCCAAATAACAAAAGCAAATCCCACAGAGCAAATCCCAATACATGGTACACACCATAGAGTCAAGTATCACATTTGAAAGACTACTAGGTAAATACTCCTGTGAGAACCTTCAACTTCATTTTCTATAAGTTTCCATCCATAAACATAAAAATAAATCACTGTGGTTATTTTCTGCCTGAATCTTACTGGGCTGATTTTTCTGCATCATTATAGAAGAGTACTAAGTTATAAAGTTGATTCAGATTTCCAATAAAACATGAACTATACAGCCGTGAGCTATTCAGATATATCAGCTCCTTGGCATTCATGTCAGGTATTATCCATCAGTGCTGGGATTCTTCAGCGAAGCTCATGTGTGATAAAACAGCAGTAGCTGCCACAGCATCTTTTAAAACAAGCTTTCTTGGAATTCTAACTAGATTCTTAAAATTAACACACACACACACACACACACACACACACACACACGCCCCTCCTTTTATGTTGCTGCTTTAAATTGCTAAAGAGTAAAGGTATTTGAACCAGTTCTCATTAATATTAATATTTACTGTGTTATTTTGTTCCCCAAACACTGCCACTTTGTTATACTAAATTAAAGCTCTGATGGAAACATCTAATTAATCCTTGGTAAGAAAAATGCATTAGTGTGTCACAGTTAATAAGCAGTTCAATGTAATCGCACCTTGATCATTCTCCTAAGCAGTTCAGTCCTGTGTGAGGTGTGCTTAGAGTCAAAATGTCTATTATTAGTATCCTAAATGAATTCTCCTATAGGAGAAAAATGGATAGTTGCTCTCCATTCAAATGTACAAGTAATCTATTTCTTTTATTTTAAAAGATAGGAAACAACTAACTATAAAGAATTAGACATAATCACAAAGCAAGACATTCAACTTCAACCTGGTTCCATGCCTAAGTTTAGAAACCCATAGAGCATTTGGCCACAGAGCCTCCCTGTGGGAAGAAATAAGGCTTCCTTCCTCTAGCCAAGTCAAAAGATCTAGGCTCTGTCCTCACAAAGCTCAAAGACACCCTGAGCCAAGATCCTACCTTAATGAGAACATGAATGGACCCTGTGGCTTTTGCAGATATGAAATACCAGAAGCTCATGGTGCAGGCGGCACTGGACTCTTGCCACGTGGCGCTCTTGAAGTGTGCTTTGTCACCTTGAAGGCCCACTGGAGTAGACTCCAGATACATGAAGTATCCTAGGAACAAGAATGGGATTCAGATAGGACCGAAATTACACTGAGGAGATTAGTTTAGCTTTTCCATCTTACTTACATTTCATATGATCTGAGCTGTCAAAGGCATTTTCATTTGAAACAGAGAATAAATCTAACAGCATTGTCTCTAGCTCACTGACACAACAATTTCCAACTGTCTGTGCTTTTAGCAGTGCTCCACAGTATGCAGATGAACTGATCTGACAGGACACTTGAATCAACAAAGTAGTAATAGAAATCATTTAATGGACTCCTTAAATGATCTGCTTATTGTAAAACAATACCAAGATGCCTCATGAAATCAAAATAAAGGAATATGATGTGGTTTCAGAAATTCAGTTGCCTATGTAATATGTAAATGAAATACTAAAATTTCTAACATGCTACATGAGAGGAAATCTTTGAGCTTTATTCTTGGGTATCAAAATTTCCAAAACATATTATTATGTAGAACTGAGTGCTTGAATAGGATTTAGGTCTTCCATTTCATGTCTTGGTGAATCTAGCTAAGCTTTGTTTTTTATACTCTTGCAGAATTTCAAACTATTTCCCTATTTTGTGCAGTCCAGAAGTTCAAGTTCCCTTCTTTATCCTGCTAATGTCCTTTGCTCCTTGAGCAATGACTCTGAGACTTCAGTTATTCACTACAAAAACAATTCATATCCAACACTCTTAACATATTGTAGTCTTATGTTACATTTCCACAGCATCTCAACAGGTTTCAAATTCCTCTTCCTTCATACATATCACCTCATGTGACTTCCACAACCCCTAATAGGCATACAGGGCAAATTTTATTATCTCCATTTGATAATGAGGAATTTGAGAATCTGAAAAGTTAAGTGACTTGATAGTGAATAAATGACTCTCAAAACTCAGGGCTATTGATTACAAGTATTTTCCACCTAGGAAAGGCATCTGAGGGCAGCATGCATTATTAACTGTAATTATTAAATAATGATTAATATTTAATTTTAACTAGTCACTGTTATAGATTGAATTGCATCCCCCCTCAAAAAAGAAAAAAAGCTGAAATCCTTAACTCCCAGTCTTTATGGATATGCTCTTATTTGGAAATAGGATCTTTGCTGAAGATATAATGAAAATAAGGTCATTAAGATGAACCCTAATCCAACATGATTGTGTCCTCATAAAGGGAGAAATTTTGACAGAGAAACAGATATGACAATGTGAACTTCAAGGAGAATCACCATTTCCAAACAAGGAATATTTGAGGATGCCAGGGCCTAAGGGAGAGCCATGGAAGACAAGGCTTTCCCTCCCAGTCCTCAGAAGAAACCAACCCTGTTAAAGGTGTTCATTTTGGATTTCCAACTTCCAGAACAATGAGCCAAAAAGAGCCAATAAATGTCTATTGTTTAAGCTGCACAATCTGTGACACTTTGTTACAGCTGCCTTAAGAAATGAGCACACTCATTAAATGTTTGATTGACTAGAATTGTCCCTATAGTGGTTTCTCCAGTTGCTGCTGGGGGAGACAAGGAGGTGTACCTTGCAAATATGATTAGGACAATGGTAACAAACTGATCACCTACCATTTTCATTCCCAAGTGTGTGGTCTTTGGGAGGTCTTTGGCTTTGATTAGAGCCAGTTCCCCAAACCCAATCAAAGTTTTCAGCCTGGGAGTTTTGCCAGCCACACCAGCCGTTTTCAAATGTACAGGAGCTACCACATTCATTTTCATCGGTATCATCTCCACAGTCATCTACAAAATTACAGCTTTGCTCTGGCCTATAGCATTTGCCATTCTGACATTCCTGGTAGCCACGTGGGCAGAAACCTAGAAAAAAAACAAAACCATAAAAAGAGAATGAAGTAATGTTCCACAAATGCTTAGTGAGGTCAAAAGGCAATACAAGTGTATTAATAATAATATAGAGGAAACGTAGTATTCTTAATCATTTGAGGTGACTAATCCCTACCTCTCTCTTCTAATCTGCTCTAGAGTTCTGGCCTATAGATCACTCACAGGATAATTAATAAAAGAAAAAGAATATATGTAACTTTATTGATTTAGGAAAGTACCCCAAGACTCCCAACGCTTCATTTAAGGACATAAATTATATCTGAGAGTCAAAGGCTTTCCATTTTTTACCCTGAAACAAAATCTTTAAGTTAGTAGGAGTTCATTCTTTATGGGGTATTTGGAAGTAAATTTGAGCATTCATTCCTTCAAATATTTATCTGAAGATACACACATATGATCCTTCCTTTGAAGCAGAGTCTTCCATGTATAAGTAACAAACAACTTTCCAACATATTTTTCTCCCAAAATGCATATTTTTCTGTCAGTCTTTTGGCATTTTAAAGCCAATTTTCTTGCAAAGCAATGTCAGTGTTGCTTTGTTCACACAACATAAGAGAAACAGCAATGCTTTTGAAGACCTGAGTTTGAACTCTTGTAGGTATTTATTAGTTATGTGACTTGGCTCATACTAGCACTTGGTAAGTTTCATTTTCTCTGTGTAAAAAGAGAGAAAGAGGGAGGTTATGGGAACTTTCAGAGTCAAATACTAAGTTAAACCAATTTAAAGAGACTATTATATATATATGCCACCAGTGCCTAGAACAGCACCTGGGACTTTAGCAGGTAATCATAAATATTAGTCAAATAAATGAGTGAGTGACATAAACTGCTTTGGAAATGATAAAGCAGTTCAATATGCACTTTCTAGGCATAATTATAATTATGTCACTTCAATATGGCAAGAATAACCATGACAAGTAACAGTATTTCAGCAGGAAAAATTCTTCAGAACTCCAACTTGGAATATTAGCATCACATTTGATCTTTGGTATTATAGAATTGGAAAATGTCTTCCCTCCTGTTTCCCCAGCTTTCAGGGCAAGGATCTGATAGCACACTCCTGGGTTTATTTCTAGGGTGGTATCCCATAACACTGAAGGGAAGTTGACTGTTGATGGAGGGGCCAATTGGTCAGAGGCAATGAGAGATGGTTCAAGGATTTATTGTAATATGCTCTGGAAACTCCTGTTGATAAAACCTCTGTTATAGTTTGTGTCTTAAATGTTCACTGAAGGTGAATGTTTAGGAGGCTTGGTCCCCACGAAGGTGATATTGGGAGGTTATGGGAACTTTCAGAGTCAGGGCTTAGTGGAAGGTCTCTAGGTCATTGAAAGCATGTCCTTAAAGTGGATTGTGGAATCCTGGTCCCTTCCTATTTCTCTGTCTTTTGCTTCCTGGCCAAAAGTGAATGGTTTTACTCCACCATATACTCCCACCATGACTAAAAGCAACTGATCATGAATTGAAACCTCCAAAACTGTGAACCAGAATAGCCCTTTTCTTTTTATACATTGATTATATCAAATAATTGTTATAGTGACAAAGAGCTGACTGACACTACCTCCTACAAAACTATTGTGATCTGGATCAGTCTCAAATTTTAGACAAATGATGATGGATGGAATGCTGCACAGAAACTGGTATTCTAAAAGCTACTGGCTATTTTATGCACTGCACTTTTTCTGCACTGCTTATAAGTTGCCTAGGTAAATGCCCTTTGCTCTTGCAAACCTTAGAAAATGGATTTGAAGTATACATTCTGCCTCCAGCAAAACTTTCTTGCCTAGGTTAATTGCTAACATTTTCCTTCCATGCAGTGTGGTATTAAGCTATTCTCATTTAGATCCCTGGTTCATTTTAGAAGATTGGGGGTAAAAAAAAAACCTTTAATGTTTCAAGTACAGAACTTGCCTCAGAATCAATCATTAAAGTATTTCCAAGCTACACAAAAAGAGAGACCATTTGCATTAGCTTTCTCATTTATGTAGATGAGAAACAGGACTGTAGATGTTAAATGATTTGTGGATTTTTTTTAAAAACAGAGATGTGATTTAGACACAGGTCTCTTGTCTCTGAATTATTTTGTAAATCCATTGGCTAAAAAGAATAATAATGGTATTAACTCAACTATCTCAGGACACACCACCACAAAGAACCAGTAAAGGTGGGATTGGTAACCAAATGCATTATTTCTCAAGAAGTTGTTGAGAACCTGAGAAATTACTAGATTATTTCATTTTATACAAGTTGGCATTTGTATTGATTCTGTCAATTCCAATTTGTTTGAAGAGATTAAAGAAAGCTGGTTCTTAGGATACTTTTCTCCAAAATGAGTAAGTCAAGCCACAACCTAAATATAGAAGAAAATATCAAAATATAGAAAAAAATAACTTGGACATGTTTCTAAACAAAAACACATCACAAATTTTGATTTATTACACAAATTAATATAGCTAACATTTAAAGATAATAATAAAGTTTTTCTCTTTTAAAACATCATTTTATGGTAATTTAAGTATTACATAAGACTAAACTTCAGGGGGGAGAAATGAACCAAGCCTTGTATGCACATACGAATAATAAAAGAAAAAAAATAAAATAAAATAAAATAATTTTGTGCGTGAAGCCAAAAAAAAAAAAAAGACTAAACTTGAACACAATCTCTATCACTGCTCTCATATACTCTTTCCATAAAATAACACACAATAATAATTTGTTTTGGGTAAATGTCAAGACAAATTATCAACTAATATTATTTATCTATTTGTATATCATTGTCTCTTGTTTTGTCCAAAAACATCAAAAGACAAAAAAACCCCAAAACCATAAGCTACTAAAGAGCAGGGCCATTACCCTTAAATAAGTCTGATACTAACACTTATGAAATTGTGCAGTTTTGATTTTTATAAAAAAAGCACATATTCATAACATGCTCATATATATTTTTTTCTTAAATTAGTTAGTGACTATCTTGGTGGGAAAATTTTTTTTATTTTGTTCTGTTTTGTTTTGCCTTTTTTTTTGGCAGTACTGGGGCTTGAACTCAGGGCCTCATACTTATTAGGCAAGCACTCGACCAATTGAGTCATGCCTCTATACCTGTTGTGCAAGACAACAAATGATTAAAGTTGAGAACCTTCAACAAATATCTTATAGCTTAGCAAATATCTAAAGATTAGCATGCCTCATCTAAACTGAATATTTTCCTACAAACTTATCAATGGACAGTCTTCTCTATGTCTGTCAGTGGCAACTCGGTGCTTCTAGTTACTCAGGAAAAAATCTTTTAATGAATGCCATGTTGCAATGAAGCATCTTTCTGATGTTTGATTTGCCTGCTGAAAGCCCTTACAGTTCACCATACTGTCTGGAAAGGTGTTAGAAAGCCCAGAAGCTCCTCATTTAGGTGGGAATTTCAAGCAATCTTAAGCTCACACCTGTGTGCAGGACCCCTCCATCTGTACCCCCAGGCTCCATAAAACCCCAAGCCAGTCCCCTTTCCTATTCTTCCAAGTTATTTTGGGCCATATTTGAAAGTCATTCTGTTGTCTCGGAAAGTCCCATTATGTGAGTATTAAAATGTTTCAAGTTCTCTTGGTGTGTATACAGCGTAAGCAATCTCAAATTACACCAAATTTGGATAGAAGTCCATCTGATATCTGTAGATGATCACAAAACTATAGGAGCTGTAATTATCATACCACAACTTTTAATCTCATAAATCACATAAAAATCTCCTTGCAAACTTTGTCAATTGCCAATTCTACATTAGAACACATTACATTAGACCTTCTATTACTATTTTCATGAAAGCTACTATTGTTTTGTGTGATATTGTTGACATGCTTTTCTGCCTGATCTTTGTGTCTCTATCCTTACCCCCAAAGCCCAACAAAGTACACTGCCATGATCTTTCAGTTTCACTTGAATGTCACATCTGCCTCAAACTCTACAGTATTTACATACTATTCGCCATTATGGGGAAGAATGCCTTGGCAAACTGACTATTTAAGTCCAAAGAAAAGACAGCTCAAAATGAGATAGATTTTTGTATGCATGTCATGTATGCAAGAATTTTTAAATTCTCAAAAAAAAACCACAATGACATTATGATGAAAAGTTTAAAGAGATGGTTTTTAGACAACTGGTCAATGAGAGATAAATTTGAACATCAAAATAAGTAATGAGAAATTTTTTGCTCCTTGGTATGAGGAAATAAGAAAGTATGAAATTACCCTTCAGATATAGGAAACTAGAACCCCAGGCAAAATATATTAAACAATTGTTTTCAAACATTGAACAACAGGAAGCACAAAACTGTAACCCCTTAGATAAATGACAAAAAAATACCCAGATGTCTGCTTATAGGCACTTTCCAGGATGAAGGTCTAAAAGAGAGAGCCAAGGAGAAAACAGAGATATCAGCTAGTGAAGGAGACAGAGGCTAGAAGTGCTGGAATCTGCAAGACAGGGTAGTGAAGACAAAGGATGTACATAGAGAAAGATATCTAGAGATTCACTTATCTTTAGTTGAATTCCACTTTGCATATGTATAAAAATAATCCATAGAAAGAAAAGACAATAACTTCTATAAAAGCAATAACTAGGAGCTGTAAGCTGAAAAATTTCTGGGGTTCTCAGAGAGCCATGCATGTTTGTGTATCTACAAGCCAAAGTAGAGTTCTCAATAAATACACAAGGCATTCTAGAGTAGAAACTCTAGAAAGGATATACTTTAGTAGGAGGGCAAAATAACTCTAAAAAGAAGTATACTTTAGACTACATATAAGCAAATTAAACCCCAAGTCCAAATCCACGTTACCATCTCAGTAAATAAAATTATACTGAGACTTAGCCATACCCATTTGTTTGTTTAATAGAGGAAGACAAACTTTAGACTACATTTACAGTGTTGAACACTGGCAACTAAGACTATATGGCCAGTAAAATAAAAAAGTTCACTCTTAATCTTT